AATAGAATAGAATAGAATAGAATAGAATAGAATAGAATAGAATAGAACTGCCTCTCTAGAGCTGCATGCCTGCGTTTTTCTGCCCTCAACTCAGCCTGAATTGCCTTCTTAGGGGCTAGAGCTTTAGCTCTGATTTTGGCAGCCACCTCCCTCTGGACTGATTGGGTGCGTTGCCTACGACTTTTTCTCTTATTGGGCTTAAGAGACTGTTCCACTGGTGGGGGGGAAGCTCTGCCTGAGCCTTATCTTGCTCCATTTGTAGAATAAAGGCTCTTGCAATGGAAAGAAACTGTTTGGAAATTTTTTGTATTAAGCCCCTTAGGGTATAAATTGGCCCCCGGGCTTACAAAATGGCCGCTCACCTCGTGGTGGAAGGCTTCAATCCAAGATGGCCACTGACTAGGGAAAACAGGCTCCGAGATCGAAGAATCGCTCCTTAGGCTATAAAGAGCCCCGAGCGAAGTCAGCAAAGGAAAGGGCAGCCTCTGGCCACACGATCAGCTGGCTGACGCTGTTATCGGTTTGCCGATCGCTTTTTACGACCGCTCAAACCTCAGGCGTGGGGGGAGGTCTACAGACGCTGCCCAATTTGCCTGAACAGTGCTCTGGCAACGCTGCTCCCAACGCTGCAGGAGAGAGAACCCTGCTCTCCTGGAAGAGCAGCTGTCCCGATCCCTGGGAACTGCTTGAAACAAGGAAAAGGTATTGAAGATCGCTGGTGATTGCTATATAGCAGAACGCTTTCAGAGACACAGCTACTGACTGAAAGGAGCGGAGTCAAAAGCTGGGGTCTCTCCCGGGGGCTGGCTTTTATATCTTAGTACGGACTCAGTTAAAAGACGTCATAGGAAGGAGTCAACCCATCCTGGGCTCTCGATGCAGCATGGAGGAGAAGATAATGGTGAGCCGCCTCCAGGAAATTACACAGTCACGCCTATGGTCCTCAACGGTTGACCTTCACTCTAAATCTTTACGCTTTTAATAACATTTCTCTTCTTTCAGATGGAAACTTTATGAGATCCAACTGCCAGTATTAAAGAATAGGGGTCAATAAAAGCTTTTACACAAAATCCTTGGCAGGCCTAGCTTGTTGTAACAAAAATACCATCATTCTTCAAAGTCACATTATTCCTTTTTGGGGGGGGGGGCACCCAGATTTGCTTTGTCATTTGTTACCACACTGGAGGATAGGGACAGGAATAGGGATAGGGATAGGAATAGGAATGGAATTAGGATAGAATGGAATGGAATGGAATGGAATAGAATAGAATAGAATAGAATAGAATAGAATAGAATAGAATAGAATAGAATAGAATAGAATAGAATAGAATAATAGAATAATAGAATAGAATAGAATAGAATAGAATAGAATAGAATAGAATAGAATAGAATAGAATAGAATAGAATCTAGAAAGGATCTTGGAAGTCTTCTAGCTCAAACAGGATACTCTATTCTGTACCATTTCAGACAAGTGAATAAAAATGTGGTTTTTCTTGCATTTATTTTTAAACCCTTTTGCATGCTTGGGACAAAGTAGGTTTCCAGGAATGAGAAGTATGATTCCAGCCCATTTCCTTAGGCTGTCATATTCAAAAATGTTACAGGTAACATATGGCGGGAATAAACAACTTGGATCTCTCCAGAGGTTTTGCAGATGTGTCCGAGCCCCAGACCAAAGAATCCATAGCAAAAGATTTGGGAACATTTGGAGAATAAAGGTTTCCTCTGATAAAACACAATAGATACAAACTCAAGGTAAACTGCACCTAACTTGATTGCAGGAAATACGACTTCAGCAACAGAGTGGTCAATGTCTGGAATACTCTACCTGACTCTGTGGTTTCTTCCCCAAGCCCCAAAAACTTTAACCTTAGACTGTCTACTATTGACCTCATCCCTTTCCTAAGAGGTCTGTAGGGGGTGTGCATAAGCGCACCAATGTGCCTGCCGTCCCTGTCCTATTGATTCTTTTTATTTTTCTTATATGTATCAATTTCATGTATTCATAACTATGTTTATGCTTATACCTATTATCTTGTAAGCGATTGACAAATCAAATAAATAAATAAATAAAAAATTGCAATAAAACAGGGCTTTATAAAGACATCAAGAATTGTAGATGATCAAAAAGTTAATTTTCAGTACTAGAAGTACCCATTGTTTTATTTTGCTTTTATTTATTTGAATTTCTTAGCCATCCAATTCCAATAGATTCTGGACAGTGTACCTACAGGACAGATAGTCCTCGACTTAAACAGTTCGTTTAGTGTCTGTTCAAAGTTACGACACCATTCTTTAAAAAAATGATGTGATCAGAATTCTAACCTGAGCTGTTCTGACACATGATCAAAAGTCAGATGCTTGGCAACTGACTGATATTTATGACCTTTGCGGTGTCGTGAGATCATGTGAGCATTTCTTAAGAGAGGCAAAACTCTCTTAAGAAATCTCTCACTTAGCAACAGAAATGTTGGGCTCAATTGGTGGTCGTAAGCCGAAGGACTATCTGTAGTGAATTTTGATAGGTTTGTCACTATTTAAAGTAGATTTTCAGTAAGGAAGGAAAAAGAGAGAGAGATTTTGAACAGCATCTTAGGAATTGTTTTAGGATGTAGAGTAGAGTAGAATAACTTTAGTGTCACCTGAGTGTACGCTAATCAGCATACATTAAAATGAAATTTCATTGCATGCAGCTCTCAAAGGGTCTCCACCTCCAAACGTACACTACACAAACATGAGAAAAATAAATAAATAACTACAAAATTATGCATATACCCACATATATTATACGACACAGAGAAACAACACTATCTAGTTCGGATGTATACATGTACATGGCAAGAAAAACGAATCTTGCGAGCTTACCGGATGGATGGCATAGGGAACAAAGCTGTTACAGAATCTGGTAGTCCTGCTTGAAATAGGTACTTCGAAAACTCCTCCCAGAGGGGACCAACAGAAACGGACCATGAAGTGGATCTGCGGGGTCACTAACAGTGGTTTGAGCTCTTAAGCACATAGCGCTTATAAGCACTATCCTGAATAACAGGAAGTGAGCTTCCTATAATCAATCTTCTATGCTGTCCTCACTACTCTCTGTAGGGACTTTCTATCTGAGGCACTGCTGCTATAATTTCCTGGGTCTTTTTTCTTTAATATTACAGCAGATTTTGATCCAGTTATATGGATGTATGTTTTCATGTTTGTTTGAGATTAACATAGACGTTGGTAGTCCTATAAAGGTAGTCCTCAACTTACAACCATACAATCATTTCATGACTGTTCAAAGTTACAATGGCACTGAAAAAAAAGGAACTTGCAACCAGTTCTTGCACTTAAAACTGTTGCATCAGTGCCACAGATATATAATTGCCATTTATGGAAACAAGCAGTGGGGAAATCCAGATTTACTTAACAACTCTGTCTGATTCACTCAATGATCACAGCAAAAAGGTCATAAAATCAGATATCTTGCCAAGATATCTGGGATTTATCTGTGAGAAGGATGCTATCTTGCCTAGTTATCTGGGATTTATCTGTGAGAAGGACAGCTCTCTTGCCAAGATATCTGTGAGAAGGATGCTATCTTGCCTAGTTATCTGGGATTTATCTGTGAGAAGGACAGCTCTCTTGCCAAGATATCTGGGATTCATTTTGGCTCGTGGCTTCTGAGAAAGTTGGTGGAGTGCCCTCTAGGATGACTTTTGCCCCCTGAGGGATGCCTCCAGGTGTCTTGTGATTTTCCCTTGGGTAGTTGGCGGGGATAATTTTTTCTGGGTTTTGGAAATTGTAGAACCTCAAATCAAGGCAGTGGCAATGGCTCCTTCTCTTTTGGGAGGCCTTTCCTGGACGTGGAGGAGATAAATAATTTTCATCCAGTCTCCAGCTCTCCTTCAGTAAAGGTTGTTGGGTCAGTGATGGGAACTCGATCGTTTGGCATACCCTTAGAAAAAGTGGACTGGCAGGACGACCCTTTTCAACCGGGCTTGAGATCTAGCTACAGGGTACTCCTTGACTTACAACCACAACTGAGCCCAACATTTCTGTTGCTAAGTAAGACAGTTGCTAAGTTTTGCCCTGCTTTACGGCTTTTTTGTCATAACGTACAACACTTAATGATAGTGATAGGGTACAATCAACAATCAAATCATACTAGGAAACAGTCAATATAAATCGTAAGGATACAAGCAACAAAGTTACAGTCCTACAATCACAAGTGGGAGGGGATGGGTGATAAGGAGTGATGAGAAGATTAATCGTAATAGTAGTGCCAACTTTGTAAATAGTTGAACAGTGTTGAGGGAATTATTTGTTTAGCAGAGTGATGGCTTTCGGGAAAAAACTGTTCTTGTGTCTAGTTGTTCTGGTGTGCAGTGCTCTATAGCGTCGTTTTGAGGGAAGGAATTGAAACAGTTTATGTCCAGGATGTGAGGGGTCTGTAAATATTTACACAGCCCTCTTTTTGACTCGTGCAGTATACAGGTCCTCAATTGAAGGCAGGTGGGTAGTAATTGTTTTTTCTGCAGTCCTAATTATCCTCTAAAATCTGTGTTGGGTTGCAGAACCAAACCAGACAGTTACAGAGGTGCAGATGATAGACTCAATAATTCCTCTGTAGAACTGTATCAGCAGCCCCTTGGGCAGTTTGAGCTTTCTGAGTTGGCACAGAAAGAACATTCTTTGTTGTGCTTTTTTGATGATCCGTAATTGAATCCGGGTACTTTTGAGGGCAGCCTCAAGAATCCCTAACTTTGATGTTCTTCTGTGGTAGAGACACCCACCGAGGAAAATATGGAGGCTTGGGAGACCGCTCGGCTTTCTACGTAGCCCACCTCATCTCCGCCTCATCCGAAATCATGATTTACAAAACTTCCGTAGCCATTGGTGCCTGTTGCTTGTCAAGTCTTGCGTTGATCAATGATGAAAGGAATTCCTTGTCTCCACCCATAGGTGTTCTGTTGCTTCAAAGGAAAGGGGCGGAGCTAGGAGAAGCCCTTCTTAATCCCAACATCCTGGCCAGAACCATGCCATAGAGCTCAAGGCCTCTCCCAGCACATCATCCAGGAGTGTTGCCCAATAGAGGTGTGAGCAGGTAAGACTTCTGGGAAGGCTTTAGGGTTTAGCTTGGGTCTTCCTGTTTTAACTCCCGGAAAATACTGTCTTCACCGCTGGAGACATCTGATAGATGCAGACCTTTCATGTAACAGCATGTCATTACCACAGGTGTTAGTGTGGGTAGTGCTTCCAAGAAATTATAGGTTTGGTCTTCGAAGGTTACTCCGTATTCCCAACATGCTTGGTGTAAATTGTTTATATCGGAATATAAACAAGTGTTGAGCACAAGGCCTGCCAGCTTGTTTTAAGCCCTGGCTTTGATCCAGAGTTGTGTGTCTTAATTCACTTGATTGTGTGTGTGTGCGTGTGTGTGTGTGTGTGTGTGTGTGCACGCAATCCATCAGAAAATCAAAGTCCTGTACTTTAGGTGGTGTTTCTCTTCATTTCAGCTTGTCTTTCTTTTAACCAAGGGATAGCAGAGAGGGCCTCTGAGCCATTCGAATGAATGCAATTGTTTGTGATACAGTTTTCCAGATGTATCTGCTCTTCAGTTTTAATATAAATACATACAGTAATACGGATATCCATGGAAATTCTTAGTCATCCAGGTCGTGGTTGACTCAAGGGTGCTTTTTCAAAAGGCAACTGGACTTCTGTTTTCCATATCATGGAGTTGGAGAGGGGCTAATTTCCCTGATCATCCACACAGCTGTTTTTCAACCCTTGTTCATTTTTATTTGAATTGTCCTTAAAGCATGGAATTCCGAACAATATGAGAGTGATCAAGCACTCCTGTTTTGTGTATGAATTAAAAAGAAAACCCCCAAACTCGCAAATAATACCAAAGCTCATCAAACAAGACAGGAGCGTCCAAGTTGAGGTTAAAAAAAAAAAAAGTCAAAATGGCGTCTGCAACCAAAATTTTGCCTTCCCCCACTTTTTTTGTGATGCTAAGACTTGATCCCTGGCCATTATCTTGTCTTGTATGATAAGTATCTTCCGCAGATATTCTCTTTTAACTGTGAGCTTCATATTTTGGGCGGATTGCTTCATTTGTTTACAAATAACTTGCTCAGCCTAAATGTAGTCATGTTTCCAGGAGTAACACAGATTCCCTGTTCTGGCCAAACAGAGATTAGCAAACATGCACAAAGCATAGTAAATATATATATATAGAGTTTCTCAGTCATCCAGCTCACGGTTGTCCCAAGGGTGCTTTTTTCAAAAGGCAACTGGGTTTTCTTTGTTTTTCCTCGAAGACTTTTCGCTTCTCATCCAAGAAGCTTCATCAGAACTTCTTGGATGTACTTTGGGGGCAAAGCATAGTCGTGACATTGTGTGTGTGTGTGTGACATAGTTGTGTGTTTCTGTCACCATCAAGCAGAGTTGGGAAATCTGCACCAAATCCCAGAAAGAAAGAATCAGTAGGCGGCAAAAGATCAACTAGTGCAGTAGTGGGATCCTACCTTAGTCGCTACCGGAGCGGTGGGTGCGCGGCCCCAAACACGGCACCCCTAACAACAACAATCAGTTGAGAGGATAAAGAAAGCTAGGAGTGACCCTTCTACCCTCCGTTGTACTTTTCGGTTTTTTATCCTCTCAGCTGATTGGAGGCTTTTTTTCCTCCTCTCAGCTTGAACCGAACTCCGTATTGTTGTGTGTTGTGATTGTTTGGGAAAGCTAACAGTCGTTGTTCAAGGAACATTTTCGGATTGGCTTTGATCTACATGGATCCCTGAATCTTGCAAGCCTAAATGCACTTCTTCTTTATCTTTGTGTTGAACTAAGGAGGGGCTTGTTGTCAGAGATGTTTCCTCAGATTGCTTTCTTGGCTAGGGCTCAAATCCCTCTTATCTTATTATAGTTGCCTTGATGGCTGCTCTTCATTCCCTCTGGCCAGTACAGCTATGCTTAACAAAACTGGTAATTGAACTCCCTCCTTAAAAAAAAGGTTCGGATACAGGAGGAAGGTCCCACAGTTTGGCAGGTCCAAATCTCCCCTCATCCTCTTCAACTGAAGATTTTGGCGGTCATAATCTCTCTATATATTTTAAAGCGAAATATCACTCACGCACAATCACAAAATCTCCAGAACCGTAAAGCCTACAAACTTGAAATTTGGCCCTTATGTTGCTTCTAGGTGTTCACTGAGAAAGGGTTTTTCGAAATGACCATCAGAGCATTCGTATTTCCTATATTATTATTAACACGCTCTGATTCTACGGAGTTCTACTCCCTCTCCTCACCTGAAAAGAAATCTCTTCCAAATGCAAAACACAAGCAGAGGAGCTTCGGTTTTATTTTCACAGCAGCAACAGCTTTAGTACCGAGCAGTTGAGCTAAGACACACCCAGGCTCCTTGCTGTCTCCTTGCTCACACAGCAAATACTGTTTCAGTTTCCAGACAGCCCTCAACTCTCTCACACACTGACAGGACGCTAGCCAGATTAATACTGATAGGTAGGCAGAGGCACATTTTTTCCTCATATTTTCCTCCCCAAAAACTATGCCCGACCACATAGTTTCGTAGCGAAGCACGGGTATCGAGCTAGTCCAATATATTTAGAAGTCACAAAATGAGAAAGTCTGAGTCAAAGTTTAGATACTCACTTGGTACATTTTGGCACCTATGTACAGGTAGTCCTCGACTTACAACAGTTTGTTTAGTGACCGTTCAAAGTTACAACAGTGACTTACGACACTTTTTTTTCACACTGACGACTGTTGCGGCATCCCCATGGTGACCTGAGCAAAATTCAGATGTTTGGCAACTGACTCATATTTATGACGGCTGCAGCGTCCCAGGGGTCACTGGATGCCCTTTTGCAGCCTTCTGACAAGCAGAACCAACGGGGTTCAACCACCCATGGTGCTAATTTAGCAACTTCTGTGATTCACTTAACAATGGTGGCAAGCAAGGTCGTAAAAGGGGGCAAAGCTCACTTAACAAATGTCTCACTTAGCAACAGAAATGTGGAGGCTCAGTTGTGGTCGTAAGTCAAGGACTACTTGCACTCTCTCTATTTCTCTCTGCCTAACCCATGTTATTAGGATTGCTGTGAAGATCAGTTCAAAATGTAGTTTTAAGAGGCTTGAAATCCACCTGGAATTTTCCTAGGGAGGAACTAGATATTGAGAAAAGATAGGCAAAGCTTGGTTGAATATTCCGGATTACCTGACAGAGATTATTACTTGGCATTTCCCCAAAAGTCAGCCCATGGACACTTACTTAATTAACGTTTATTGAATGTTAATTGGCTGAGTCCACATATTGTGTCAGGTCACGTTTCAGCCTACATTTTCATTAAATAAAGCCACAATGTTGTGCTTGGCCATAAACCATGATTTATGAACTTCGTTGCGTAAACCCAGTATACTGGCCCTTGCAGCATAGCATGTGTGAGCCTGGCCTATCTGAATAGACCTGCAACATTGTGTACATACAAAGTTGCAGAAGGCTCTCCTAGAGAAATCCTGGCTAGTTAATTAACTTAATTAACTGGCTAGTTAATTAACTTAACCTTATATAGAACGTCAGACTTCTGCAACCTATCATCAGAAATACCTTAGGTCAATGACTGTAGCTTTCTTTTGGGGTACATTGACATGGGTTTGGATCTGACTGGGTACCTAAACTTGGGTTTTACAAGCATCCGTTTAGTTTTTTTTTAATAGCTTTATTAAACTTTTCAAAGTAAAAATAACAAAAGAATTATCAAGAAAGAAAATAGTAAAGAGGATGGAGAGAAAAATAGGAAAGAAAGGTACAGTAAAATAAAAAAAAATGTAGAAAGATGCACAAAAAGGAATGATTTCTGGCTCCTCTTAGAGGAGATAGAAATGAAACTTAAGTTCAACTCTTACTCTAGAATTACAGATTTCTCTCTCTCTCTTTATGACCCCGTAATCCCTTGTATTGGGGTAGAATCGTGTTGACTGAATGGAGCTGAGCGTTTGCCAGTCCAATGTCCTTTCTGACTTCTATGTGAAGTTCACAACAGATATTTTCTCTTTGCACCCTGATAGAGAAGCATTTGTCTGTGCCTAGCATTGAACTCTCAGCCTTCTGAGACCACCGCACCATCTAAAAGCCACTGCACTTGTCTAAAATTACAGATTAATATCCATTTTTAAACAGTCTCCGGGTATTGCTAATCAATAAATCTATACGTCATAATTTATTTATAAATAACAGATAACAGATAATCAGAGTTGGAAGGGACCTTGTAGGTCATCTAGTCCAACACACACACCCCCACCCAAGTGGGAGACCCTACACCATTTCTGACAAATGGCAGTCCAATCTCTTCTTGAAAGTCTCAACTGATGGCGCTCCCACAACTTCCAAGGGCAACTTCTGTTCCATGGGTTGATTGTTCTCACTGTCAGAACGTTTCTCCTTATTTCCAGGCTGAATCTCTCCTTGTTCAGTTTCCATCCATTATTCCTTGTCTGGCCTTCAGGTGCTTTAGAAAACAGCTTGACCCCTTCCTCTCTGTGGCAAATATTGGAAGACTGCTATCATGTCTCCCTTGGTCCTTCTCTTCACTAGACTAGCCATGCCCAGTTTCTGCAACCGTTCTTCATATGTTTTAGTTTCCAGTCCCCTAATCATCCTGCTTGCTCTTCTCTGTGCTTTTTTCAGTCTCAACATCTTTTTTATAGTGTGGTAAAAGTGGATGCAGTACTCTAGGTGTGGTCTTACTAAGGCTTTATAGAGGGGTATTAGTACCTCCCTCGATCTTGATTTTATCCCTCTGTTAATGCAATTTAGGATTGCATTAGCTATTTTGGCTGCTGCTGCACACTGCTGGCTCATGTTTAGCTAGTTGTCCACTAAGACTCCAAGATATTTATTTTCTGTGTCCCATAAAAAGTTCAAAAGAGGTGTCTAATTGGTAATAAAGTTAGTCAGTGTCTTTTCTTTAAACATCCATTTCTTCAATGTTTGTTCTTTGTTATATTGCAAGCTCTGGATTTTAGTTTCTAATAATACTAAGGGTCTTTAAATTTGAATGTGTTTGTTTATGGATTCAAATGAATGGAATGCATTCAGGTCTTGGATTACGCTTTTGAGATGGAAAACAGATTTCTTCTGGATGATGCAATCTGTGCTTTTCAGCACTGATTTGTAAGGGACACTGCCTGCTTGTGTTGAAAGTAGGTCAGTGGAATTCCGGCCCAGTGAGGAATAATAGCAGATCAGGGCTCATTTTCACATCTGTCCTGCATTTACGGACACCGAGTTGACTAAGGCAAATTATCTCCGCTTGTATGAATCCTGGTGCCTCTGCTTGAAAGAATAAATGGCGTAGTCAGGGTTGAGTTACTGTGAGAGTGATCAGAGAAAATATTGAAAGTAAAATTTGTTTTCAAGATATACTGTGCATTGTTGCATTCACAGGGGCAATTATAATTTGTTTTTATGTTTTATATTTCTGATTTTTACATTGATAATGGGTAGATCTTTCCAATTACTCGTGCCTCATAGGTTACCGATCCTTCATTCTCTTCTCTTTTTCCCCCCCTTCCTGGTCAAAGACAAAAAGATTATGTGATTTATTTCTTTATTAAATTTATTTATCTTACCATGGAGTAATTGTAAATGGCTTACAATAGCAATTGCAATAGCACTTATATACCGCTTCACAGTGCTTTCCAGCCGTCTCTAAGTGGTTTTTACAGAGTCGGCTTATTGTCCCCAACAATCTGGCTCCTCATTTTACCCACCTTGGAAGGATGGAAGGTGGCGTTCAACCTTGAGCCTGGTGAGATTTGAACTTACCAAATTGTAAGCAGCCGGCAGGCAGCAGAAATAGCTTGCAGTACTGCACTCTAACCACTGCGCTACTGTGGCTCGTACAATATTAAAAAGGCAAAACTATATAAGTGAAATAATGCAAAAATTCAAAATACAGCACACAGCCCTAGCTAAATGATAGGGAGGGAGGGAGGGAGGGAGGAGGATGGGGTGATGGGAGGAGATGGGATCAGTTCTTAATCTATCAACCACCTTCAGTGTGATGCTTCCCCAAGCCAGCTGACAGTACCAGGTCTTTTAAGCCAGTGATCCCCAACCTTTTTTATGCCACGGCCCGGTACCGGCATCAGCTGGGCGCCGCGGTCCGGTACCGGCATCAACTGGGCGCCGCCATCTTTTTTTGATGAAAAAGTGCTTCCGGTGAGCTTTCTACCCGGAAAAGCTCACCAGAAGCACTTTTTCATCAAAAAAAGATGGCGGCGCCCAGCGAACCAGCGGCCCGGTAGGACTTGTTCCGCGGACCGGTGGTTGGGGACCCCTGTTTTAAGCTCTTATGGAAGTCTTTTAAGGTCTTACAGAAGTCTTTTATGTTTTACGGAATGTCAGGAGGATTGGATCAGAGAGAATTACATGATCAGAACATGAATTTAAGATTGTAAAATGTGAAAAAGTGTGCCCACGGGAAAAAAGATGTTGGAGAGAATTACCTTATCCTTGACAAGCTCAATGCAAATAAATTGTCAACCGTCCCACTGGGGAAGACAGCAAAAGAAACTCCTTTTTTTTTTACCAAGAGTATAACTTTACTGAGGAATTCCCTATGGGTGCAGAAGTGGAAAAGCCAGATCTAACTATTTTACGCGCAAACAGCATGGGAAAACTTTCCCTTTCCTCCCCTGGACCTTCCATTGCCCATTCTCCAACAATCGTTTTCACTTGCATTGTTTTGGGAACAGTTTGTCTGCCTCAGAGATTCTCAACCAATGACCTTGGGGTGTTGGATCCACCTCAGGCTTCCAGTCTCCACACTTCCACCCCAAATTTCCCTCCCAAACCTCCCTTGCATTCCAATGCATTCCCTTCCCCCTTCCATTACTATTGTCTGGTGGCGAGTGGGAAGGGTTTTTTTAATTTTAGACAACAGAGAGGTGAATTCGGTAATTCTCCAGCTGTCTAAATATGGTACATGTAGCCCACATTTACAATTTTGTTTCAACCAGAGTGAGAATTAAGCCAGGGCCCTCTGACTACACGAACTCTTGAAATGAGCATTAGACTTGCATATTTATTTATATTTCACACTTCTTAAGTGCCCGTATTCCTCTGTCATGTTTCAAGCTGCCGGCCTGCCTACTGCTCCTAGGGGGGATGCATTGGAGATTAAATTTTTCTCTGCAGCCTTTTTAGGAAATAAAATGAGGAATGGTTATAACCTGAAGCTTTGATTCAAACTGCATCCTCCTGCCCAGAAAAAAGCAACAAAATTAAGAGAGGGGGAAGAAAGCATTTAAGGAACAAGTGAAGGTGAATGGGAAAGGATGTCAACAGTTGCCTTTGGAGTAAATAACAGGTGTGTTTGTGTGTGTGTTTTGTGTGTGTGTGTTTTGTGTGTGTGTGTGTCCGTCCAGATCCCCCATTTTGTGATTCTCTTTGACATGGCCGTAGACTTAATGTTTCCCGCTTCTAAGTTTGGGCAGTCACTCCATAATACACTGTTGGAGCAGAGGAAGGAATTTCTGGCTTAAATGGACAGTGAGAAATCTCTTAGGGTTGGGCTGGAGGTCAATTTAACCCTTCTCTCTTCTCATCCAGCTGGTGGGACCATGCCACACCACCGAGACTGTCTCCGGTTACTGGCTGCTTCCTGCCTCACCTTCCTCTTCCTCACGTTCACCGCCTCTTACAAGCCTGTCATCGTTGTCCATGGCCTGTTTGACAGTCCTTCTGACTTCCAGCTCTTGCTTAATTTCATCAATGAGGTGAGTGGGGAAGGCCACGTTGATCAGGTTGCTGGGGAATGATGGGAACTATAGACGTTGACCTCACAAATAATTATGTCTCTTCTCTCCCCTCCCTTCCCTTCCTCTCCTCTCATTCCTCCCCCCTCCTCCTCCTCTCCTCCTTTTCTCTTCTCCTCTTCCCCTTCCCTCCTCCCCTTCCCTCATTCTTCTGCTCCTTTCCTTCCCTCCGCTCTCACTTTCCCCCTTTTTTTCTCTCCTTCTCTTTCTTCTCCTTCCTTCCTTCTCCCAATCTTTTCTTCACCCCTCCTTTGCCAGTCTGGGAGGGAGAACATCTGTAGTCACCCTGTCCTGATTAGAATCTGGATTAAGGTGTAATTTATTTTTCTGGGCCTCAGGTGACTCATTCTGGGCAGGCAGTAGACAGAATATACATACTCCTGCGTGGTGCGATAAACAGGTTGATATTGCAGAGGGATTGAGCTGGAAAATCTGGTATTTCTGGGCAGGGGAAAATGAAGGCTGGGACTCCGGAGCTTCCAAACGCTTGTTTTATTGCCATCCAAATGTCAACTCATGACTCTTCCTTCTTTTATCCAGGCCAAGCAACATGCCACAAAATGCAATTTTAAATCTGATAAACCCAAGCCTCCTTTTCCTTTAGCATCTTGCAACCATGTATACTTATTCTCAGTTTTTTCCCCCCCTCTCTTGCCATGTGAACTTAGAAATATCCTTTTGCCATTGTTTTAAGTTATACAGTCCATGAATCATCGCTATTGATAATGTCTGAAACAGAAGCCACATCTTTATCGTAAAACATTCATCTTGATTATGGAAATTCTGCCCAACAACGATAATTGTAATTTAACCTAAGTATCCCACCCTTTTTTCAAGTTCAGTCAGCATATTCCTTCCTCTACCCCATTTTTCCCTTTGCAACACCCTGTAAGGTAGTTCAAGTTGACAATTATAGTGCTACTTCCATACTCATCATTAATTGGTTCCAAAAACTATGAGTACCAAATAGATTTTCCCCATAAGGAATAATGTAATGAGTCACAAGACAGCTGACCCGGATAAGTTCTAGCTCGTGTGTTGAGTACTAAACAACGAGTACCAGGACAAAAAAGTTCATGTTAAAATGCGTTGAGTACCAAATTTGCTGAGTTTCAAAGCAATTGAGTACCAAGGAACCATTTTATGACTCAGTAGGACTATGAACCAACAACTCATTAATCCAAGTCTGGCCTTATCTAATCACTACATCAGGCTGCCTCCATACATGAAAGAAAAAGGGGAAAAAATCACCACCAGGAGATATTCCCCCCTCCCAATCTTAGTGTGTCATCAGAAGCACTTTCTTCAAATTTCAAGGCAAAACAAGTTTAGGATTTCTGCTTTCTGCACAGAATGACTACAGTGGGTAGCTGTGGTTGTGCTGTGACTAGACTTTGAGCAAACCTTGTTGATTGGGGCAAGAATATTTTGGAGAAGTAGATCATCAGATCTTCCCTGATGGAAATAAGGAATAAGTTGGGACTAAGTAACAGATGTAGCTTTACGTTTGTGGTATTTGTATCTAGAAGGAAAAGAAGAGATTGGGATAGTGCAGGGCTTACATTTCCCCTTTGTAAATCTTTTATACTTCCCTCATCCTTTCTCGCTGTTGAAAGCTGTGTGTTGTTACTTTACTGACAGAAAAAAAAGACTTGGCAATTCCTTTGTAAGATTTTTTTTTTATAGCACTGTTACATTTATGCTTCAATCTTCTTCCTAAAGGTTCAGTTTAGGTTCAGCCTCAGCCTAGATTTTTCCCAACGTCCAAGGAATGTGATAAAGGATTGAAAATATCTTGTGCTTTTCACCCCTGTCAAATTCCTACAGACTCATCCAGGAACCAACGTTTCAGTTGTGGATTTGTTTGACCGAACAGAAAGCTTGAAATCTCTATGGATGCAAGTGGAGGGGTTCAGACAAGCGATTTACCCTATTATGCAGAATGCTGTTGATGGAGTCCACCTTTACTGCTACTCACAAGGTAATGGGGCTCTTGGTATGGCCAAAGAAAGGTCTGGCTCCATATTGGAAGGGGCTAACTGATAACAGATAATCAGAGTTGGAAGGGATCTTGTAGGTCATCTAGTCCAACCTCCCGCCCAAGTGGGAGATCTTACACCATTTCTGACAAATGGGAGTCCAGTCTCTTTTTGAAGGTCTCAAGTGATGGCGCTCCCACAACATCCAAGGGCAAGCGGTTCCATTGGTTGATTGTTCTCACTGTCAGAAAGTTTCTCCTTATTTCCAGGTTAAATCTCTCCTTGTTCAGTTTCCATCCATTACTCCTTGTGTGGCCTTTGGGTGCTTTAGAAAACAGCTTGACCCCTTCCTCGCTGTGGCAGCCCCCTCAAATATTGGAAGACTGCTATCATGTCTCCCCTGGTCCTTCTCTTCACTAGACTAGCCATGCCCAGTTCCTGTAACCGTTCTTCATATGTTTTAATTTCCATTCCCCTACTCATCCAGGTTGCTCTTCTCTGTACTTTCTTTCTAGAGTCTCAACATCTTATTTGTAATGCGGTGAACAAAACTGGATGCAGTACTCTAGGTGTGGTCTTACTAAGGCTTTATAGAGGGGTATTAGTACCTCACTTGAT